TACCTCAACAATACTATCACTGAATTCAGTTAGTATGCCAAAGAAAGAAAATGTGGTAGCTTATGTTTTATTTCTAATATAGGTCAATTTCCCTTTAATAGCAATTGACATAAAAGTGATAGTCTCTATAGCAGAATTATAGGCTAGGAGCCATCTTTTGCCTAGAGAGCTCATGCCATAATTTCTAATCACTTTTGGTCAATCTTAATAGATTCTTGTGTGAACAAGGCAAAAGTTGAAGAAAGTGAACAAAAAGCAGTGGAATTTTCAAAGAAGGTAAGGCTTATAAAATATTAGCTATAATTGTTAAATTAATAATTTAATCATAGAACATAATCTACCTTGTTTTTTTATGTCAGGCTTTACAAATGTTGTTTAATTTATGCAGTACTTTATATTTCTGGATTCAAATATAAACACAGAATATCGATTTATTTTCTAATAAGATTGCTACTGTTTCCTCCTCATCACATTTAATCCATTGTGGAAGAAAAACACTAGCCATATTATACTAAAGTGATAAATGAAATAAAATTAGGTTATTGAAAGGGTCTAGTTAGAAGCAATCAACCAAAATAAATTCCCCCATTGCTTTCCTGTAGCTCTTATTTGCAATAGGTAGCTCTTTGGAGAACTATGACATATTTAGCTAGTCTTATCTGTTATGGTCTTTAGTCAGTGCTATTGATAGCGACAGAATGTTGCAATGTTCTCTCTTTCTCTCCCTCTCCGCCTCTCTGCTTAGACTTAGCTTCTTTGAATTTTGTAATTACCATTTTTAAGATGATGCAGCTACTTCATGTAGGCTTGGTAGACTCTGTGTTATCCCTTTCTTTCTGTGTTAATGTCTTATATAAATGCCTTTGAGTAAATACCAGCTTTATGAATATCTTAATTTTATTTATATCTAAGATTATCTTTTCCTTGTTTCATGAAACCATAGCTACAATTTTATTAGCTTCTACCAAAAGTTTCTTTCTTTTGTTCTAGACCCTGTTAAACATTAGTATACTATT